TAGCATCTTATAAGGGATTCGGGGGACGGGGGCGGGGAATCTTGCTGCATTTATCAGATGATATTGGGTAAGCATCTTCAAATGAGATAATTTATAAATTATCTCAGCTTCTTTTGTAAAGAAACAATATTGCTAATTCAATCCCCATTTTACAGAAGGAATAAATTCCTTCCAGGATATGGCCCCAAGTCACAGAGCTGGCTCTAACAACGGAAATCTCCATTCCTAGACTTGAGGCCATCTACTGTGTCAGCAGTCTGATTTCAAGGCATCCCATATTTAATCGGGCAGACTTCCTTTTGGCCATCTTTTTGTTAAAATGAAACTAAATAAACAAATATATTCTTTAAAATATTTTGTAAAGATTATCGTGAATGTGTAAAAGAAGCTCTGACACTGGACCCCATGTTTTCTAAACTCTGAAGCAGGGGTCAAACAGCTCTTCTCAAAACCCCCGGTTTTGCTTCTTGTGGCTCTAAGAGTGAAGCAGAAATTCTTAACCTTTAGACCTAGGGCAAATCTTTTATTGTTCTAGAAGAGATCTCCTTGGATGAAGCCATCTGCTAATGAAGATATAAAATAAATCATGGTTACACTGGTATAAAATAACCCAGAGCAAACCTGTAGATTGGGCTTTTTAGTGTTCTGCTTCCATGGAGGGAAGGGTACGGCTCTCTAATTTTTAATATGTGAGATTAGCTATGTCCCAGATGGGCCAAGAGATACAGTTTTGAGTCTAGGGTTGGAGTAGGGCTGTGGTGAAAAGCTTGGGATAGGATTGCCAATTGACTGAGAAGACATAATTTGTGCCTTATTTCCAGAAATGAGATTGGGTTAACCTTGGCTCTGTACTACTGGGCTTGGACCTCATACTCTTGTCTAACTCCTGCTTGAATACGAAAAGTCCAGACTTTTTGGTGTGGCTTATCCATTGAAACTGTATGGAAACTCTCCTTAACAGCTGTAGTGATGTGAGAAAATATTTTACTTCAGGTCATACAGGCATGGGTGTCGTTTAAGATCAAGAATGTTTAGAGCTGGAAGGAAATTTATGAGAATTCACCTCAGCAAACAGATTCTATCTCTACAACTAACTTCTATGACTGAGTATGGCTGCCTGGGGCAGTCTGTGGACAAGTATGTGAGGGCAAGCCCCGCTCAGCAGAGAGAAGTGCTGCAATTGATTAGTGATGTCTGCCCTAGATGTAGACGTGGGAAGTAATTGTACTTATGCTCTGTTTAAAAGTCTCTTGTTTTATAGATAAGGAAAACGAAATCCAACAGAGACAGAGTCAGAATGACTACATTTTACCATACTTGCTCTCATTATATTACCATAGCTCAAAAACCTACTGCAGGTTCACAATCCCTTATTAACAATTCTGAAACCCAAAAAGCTCTGAAAATATATACTTCTATTAAAAGGAAAACTTGATTTGAACATGGGGCTCAGTATTTATAGTAACTGATTACAGTCTACTGCTCCAAACCAGGAGAAGTCCAGTCTTCTTTTATGCTTCAGTAGAAATACAAAGGGTTACTATTAACTAGTAACACTACTTCCTCTAAGTAACTGGCTTCCACACAAGAGCTTCTACAGTGCTGATTAATATTTGGGTTGAATTTAACTGGGGCACATTTTCTGGTCATGATTTATCATGTGGAAATTTATTACAATTATAACAAGACCATTTTTCTTTAGTAAATCTATAGCTGATTTTCCTTGAACACTGTTTACAATTCTGGAAGATTGATTGTTCTTTAGATCCTTCCATGGTTATTCAGATAAGCATCATGGTCACTAACATCAATAAAAACTGCTTGATAATTTTTCTTTTTATGATAAATTTTAGGCCTTGTAGACAATGAAATTTTAAAGAAATGACAATATCCTTCTAGATTTTATAGTTAAAATAAATTATGGCTGAAACATGAAAATCTTTACCATGCAAACCTGAATTGCATTTTGGAAACGTATATTGGATGACTCCCAAAGCTCTAGTTTTGGTTTCTCACCAGAGTTTTTGTCTAAAGGAGCAAATCTAGGGAAGATGATGAATTCTGATTTAAATATAGCAAGGGTCTGATGAGAGTGGGAATTAAAGTAGATATACAAAAATGAGGGCTTTCTGTGATTTGGGGGCAAATCATTTAATCTATTTGAGCATTAGTTTCTTCATCTGTCCAAAAGAAATAATACTTGCACAGTCTACTTTACAGGAGACTGTGCAAGTATTGTGAAATGAAATGGCTTTATGGGAAAAAGCTTTGTGAACTCTAAGTCAATTTGTAAGTATTTTATTATTACATTTAAAATCAATTTCTATCTAGCACTACCACCTTGAGTGGCACAGGAAATCCTTGATGTCTCTAAACTACACTCACCTTCTCCTTTAAAACCAACTCCTCCTCCAGACATTCCTGTTTATGCCGATGATACCCCCATTCACCCAGGCATCCAAGCTTGGAAACTTGGGTTATGCTAAAACCTTGCTCCCAATCTGATCCACAAATGATCAAAGTATAAATTTGATCAAGTCAATTCATTGCTCAAAAATCAATGACAATTTCTAATTATTCTTGTAAAGAGTGTCAAAACTCAAGTCTTTTCCAAGACCCTGTCTTGTCTGGCCTTGACCACCCCTCACTCAATCATAAGCTCTCCTCCTTCCCTTCTACACTCCAGTCAAATGGGCTTCTTTGATTTCTCCAAAGCCCCTGTTCCCCACAGCTATACAGACTTTGCCCGCTGTCTGTTTGCTGGAACTTCCAGCCCCAGGTATCCTCTGTTGTCATCTCCATCTCCACGTCCTCTGCAAAGCCATCCTGTACTCCCTGGTATTGCTCAAGTTCTACTGTATTGGGGGTGCATCGAAACAACTCCCTTCCCTCGGAGCACTTACTATCATTTGAAATTACATATTACATGAAGTCTCTCCATGCTTCCTCAACTATAAAGTTCATGAGCAGTGATTCTGTTTTTGCTCCTACATTATAATCACAATGCCTGGCACATGAGTAAATCAATCAATATTGGGATCTTCTCCTCACTGTGTATGTGTGTGTGGGTGTGTGTGTGGGTGTGTGTGTATACACCCACACACACATATATAGATACTCTGACTCAGGCAAAGCTGAAAAAGCAGGAATAAAAAACTTCCACCTCTTTTTTCCATATTCCTGTACCTACATGTTTCCTTACCCCCTGCCCCAATCTAAGGAATGGAAGAATGTCACTTTCTCTATAACTTTCTGATATAGGAAAAGAATAACCACAATATGTATTTTAATTTCTATTGTAATCTTTCATCTTGTGAAATTTGTTTTCTAGGAAAATATTATAATTCAAACACAAAGATAAGCATGCATACTTGATGCCTTAAAGGAGGTATTTTGTTGTTGCTGTTGTTGTTCTTCACTTTAGGGGTGTTGAAAGGGGGCTAGCTCTTTGGGGAGAGTGTGGTATTAAACATGCTGAGTGCAAAGCAGTTCTGGGAAAGCCTGGTGCTCTACTGCAGGCGTGAGGAAAGTACCCAGGCTGACCCTGGGACGTAAACCAAATTTTAGAATTTTGTACCCCTAAATATTCTGAGCCTCATATTTATAGCCCTTTATTGAGCTTCTTCACATTCCTCATATTAATAAGGCAATCAAGTACAATAGTTAAGGAGTGACCTGAGAAGGATTCCCGCAGGTTTGAATCCTGGTTCAGTCTTTTTCTTTTTTTCTTTTAATTCATTTATTTAACTTAGTTTCAAGTATACAGTACATTGGTTAGACATCTATATAGTTCATAAAACTATCTCCCCAATTGCTTACTCCCTCCCTGGCCCTCCATCTAGCCAACATATTAACACTAACTGCCGTGCTCACCATCCCCATGACCATCTATCAACTACTAATTTGTACTTCTTTAGCCCTTTTATCAACTATAAGACCTTAGGCAGATGGAGTAACCATACCGAGTTTCAGTTTCCTCACCAGCAAAATGGACAAACAATCCCTAGGTCATAATATTGTTGTGAACATTAAATGAGACTCTCAGCAGTGTGCTTTGCCATGTACTAAGCCCATGAAATAGGGGGAACAGAGAACTGTACTCCCATTTGACAGCCTCAAAGAGGTCAAGAGAACGTGCAACCAGTGTTGGAGAGCTGGGGACCTGACCGGAAGTCAAATAACTGCAAATCTCTTGTTAATCCTCAGTGTAATGAAATTCCTGGCAGAAGAAGGTACTTCATAATATAGTATTATTGTTCTTCCAAACTATAATGCAAGCAGCAATTTATGTTTGAGCTTTTTAAACCACCTGAAACATAAGAGAATTCCTATCAGTTCTGAGTATAAAATCCTGTTGTGTCGAGGAACTAGCTGTCTCCACAATCACAGGCAGAATCTATGAAGCTGAAGAGGCACTGATATTTGTACTCAACAAAAAGGGGAAGACTCAACAGAATACAGTCTAGATCACAAATGGGCCAGAGTTACTGGCCAGGGGTCAGCAAACTACAGCCTGTGGGCTGAATCTGGCTCTCTGCATGTCTTGGTAAATAAATTTTATTAGAACACATCCGTGCCCATTCATTTGTGCATGGTAGTGACAAGAGACCACATGGTCCACAAAGCCTCAAGTGTTTACTATCTAGCCCTTCACAGAAAAGTTGGGGACCCCTGTTATAAAAGCCATGTAACAGGGGAAAATGAACCTTGAAAGTATCTTCAAATGCAAAATCTTATTACTTAAGTTCTTTCTTGGCACCTTCGGTCCTATGAAAAAGGATTTTTTAACCCCCACCCCCCCTTTTTTTTTTGGAAAGTAGCAGGTGAGCCAAATCCCCCTCCAAAAGAAATGAACAGCGGGGCCTTTAATTTGAGAGGAATTTTTCCAGAAAAGCCAGTTTTAAATCCTGATACTCAGTTACATTCACCTCAGTGTCCCTAATATCTTTTATCTCCCCCAGTGATGAAACTCTGCACATTTACAGCTAGGAAAGACTCACTGGAATCTTCTCTTCTTTAAGGAGCAGTGCTGGTCTTGAGCCGGGCCCAGATTCCTCCCCTTCTGCTGCTCTCTTACAGATGTTCTGAGACTCCCAGGTATCTGGTGCTTGCGGATCAAAGTAGTGTGATTTTGTGGCCAGGCTATTGGTGAATTCTTTGGACTGAGTTTTGCTGAAGAGAAATAAATATAGAATTATTAAAAATATTATTCAACATGGACAGCTTTTCCAAAGCAGATGTCTACATTCAAATTATGTGAAAAACAGTAATAGATACCGTTTACTGAGTGCTTATGATATGGTAAGCCCTTTGCTAGGTATTCTAAAGACATTAATATAATATGCATAACAATCCTATAATAAAGACATTATTATCCTTACTTTATTATAAGCTCAAAATAGTTATTAACTATTATATGTAGTTATACATAATATTTAATAATTATTTATTATGTAATAACCATACAATCAAAGGCCACATAGTGCACAGCCAGGATTTTAATCCAGGTCTGCCCAACTCCTGGTTCAGAAGCTAAACTGCTAGAGCATACTGCCTTCCTAGGACCAGCAGCCAATAACGATCACCGAATGCCCATTTATAGTTTTAAAGTTACAGGAGTTGGTGGGCAGCATCGCCAGCCTTTGGGAACTGAATTAAGGTCCATGCATATGTTTCTATTTTACCACCTCAGATAGATAAATCTACACTCCAGGGAGAGCAGGCTTCACTGGGGACCCAGCTGAAAGGCTCCATTATCTGCGTCACTGCTACCACCTGTCACCTTTCTATATCTTCAATGATCACATCACTTACTTATTCAAAACCTCTTCACTGTCCACAGAATGAGGTCCAAACTCCTAAATCTGGCCTTCAAGGCACTTTAGAGCATGGTCCCCATCTCCCACTACTTCCCTGTGTATACCTCAAATGCTCAGAACTCATCATAACCCGAAGAACCACACAGATTCAAGTCTAGGGGTCTTGATTATGCCCTCTGCCAGCAATCTCCTTCCTGACATTCTGCAGCTGGAAAACTCTCCTTATCTTTCAAGATCCAATTCAGATTTTACCTCTTTTGTGCATCAGAATGATAAGCTCCGTTCTCCGTTTACAACTTAATTATAGCACATATCACAACCTGTAATGGCTGCAGGTAGCTGTGTGTCTGCCTGTTTCTACTCCTGGATTGGAAGCTCCTTGTTCATCTTTTAATTCCCAGTGCCTAGCATGGTGGAAGCACCTATAGGGCCTGCTCACTCAGCTGTCCGCATCTAAGCAATCTTCTTTGGAGGCCTGAAGCTCGATAGTCACTGCATTTCTCGCTTATATTTTTGATGCTCAGCTGTGTCAGCCTGCATTGATTGCTCTAGAATGATTCTAGTGAAGCCAGTGATCACTTGGGAAACCACATCCAGATCAAAACGGGAGTGAAAAGTGGGGAAATAAAACAGCTGATTTGAAAGCATTGTGGGGAAAAAAAGAGAATCGCCAAGAGTCTAAAGAAACTTTCTGAAGAAATCTAAGTGACTTTTGAGACTCTAAAATCCCATACTACTCTTCCGCTAGAAACTGTGAGCAAGAGGTATCTTTGCATTGTCTCTCTTTGGTTTGCAGATCTCATACCTGAGCTCTTCTGCTTCCTGCTCTGCTTTTAGCTGGGCTCTCTCAGCGACAATCTCATTGCAGAGCACGTCATAGGGTTTATCTAGATGATGTTCGCCCATCACCCAGACCCAAACTTCTTTATCAGCTCCTAGTTTCCAATGAACAGATTTGCTGTTCTCTGCAAGCAAAACGAAATTTGGATTGAACAAATATCTTTAGTCAGGGGTTATTATCTTTCCCATCATTAAAGTATTTAGATACTTTAGGGGAAAAAAAAATTAGATGAGGCAAAGCACTTCCAACCTGCTCAGGAACAAGCAGCCTTCCCAGGGAGCAATGGAAGTGGTGGCGGTGGGCGGCGGCTGCAGTAAGTTTGTTTTAAAATATGATGAATATGTTTTTGAATGTGCCCATTTTATAAATGAAGAAGGCAAGATGGGGAGGAAGCATGCATTGTTTGCACCAATTTCTAAGGTAACAGAGCTAACATCAGATACCAGGGCCTCTAAAGTCTAAGCATCTCTTCACATGCCAGAATTACACAGCGCTCCAGGGTTTGGTGTTTCCACTCTCTTTATAGGCTTTATTGCTGGGTAAAAAGAATGCATTTTTGAGTTGTTAGATTGGCTTTAGTTTAAATCCTAGCCCTATCACTTACTAGCTGTGTGACTTGGACAAATTATTTAATCTCTCTGAGCCTCTATTTCCTCCTCTGCAAAATAGGAATAGTGGGGAGGAGGCACCTAGATATGCCAGGTACTTACCCTAGTGCCTGCCACAAACCAGGAGTTCAAGAGAGGTTAACTGCTATCATCACTCTCCTATTGTTTATTTATACGGCTGCTCAGAGATTCACACCAGCTTGGGAGAAGATAATACCACTGGTAGTGTGATACTTGGTGAAACTACTTAAATAACCCTTGTTTACAACTGGTCAGCATGGGTTGTATTACATTCTAGTTACCTTACAGCCACACAGGTCATGCTCCCCAAAATTTGGTGAAGGTGGAACATACCTGGGGGAGGCCAAGAGGTGCAGTCCTTAAATCTTAAGGACAGTGCCATTATGGTCCACAGTTGGTTCTGGTCAAGATCCCTGGGCCCTGAGGACCCTGTAGCAGCCAGTGGTGTTGAGCATGGGGAAAGGGTACCTGACTGGGACACAGGCTAGGTCATGCTTATAGGTTAGAAATCCACACAGGGATTGTGTCTTGTCTTCTTATATTAAGCAAAAGAAGGTTTTCAATTAAAGTGTCTTCTGTCCCATGTATTTTTGACCTACATCCTACTGCCTGAGGGTATGTTAAAAAAGCAGGCTGCTCAAAGTCAGATTTGTTCTTTATTTTGGCACTTTCCACTCTTAGTGCAGTGGATACTTTCTGCAGGATAATAAAGTTCTAATAAGATACAGGTTGGGCTGGGAGGGTTATAATCACAGTCTTCACTAACAAAGGAGTCAAGTATCATTCAGAAGGAAGCTGACCTCATGCTGCTTCACAAGAGGAGAGACAGGGGAAGTGGCACCTAGGGAGGGAGGGGAGATCCATCCCGAGTGTGTGCCTTCCTGGGGATGGGCCCTGGCCAGCTCTGGCTCAGTGTGAGGGAACACCAAATGGTTCATTAACTTTAGAAAGCTATCATACCTCATAAAACTCCCTTTATTACACTCTCTCAGGGCAACTAATAATGTTTTTTTTAATTATGCTCCTCTCTAAACCTTCACCTAAGTAACTCTGTACCAATATTTTGGACAACAGGAGGAAGATGCCCAGAGAGGAGACTGACAGAGTGCCAGGGGAGGTAGCTGGGGGAACCCATGGATTCCAGCAGCTCCGCTCAGTACAGAGCAGCACGGGATCCCTCAAACAACTGTCTCTGGAGAGCCCTCAGGCTGCAGGCAGCAGCAGCAGGCAGAAGAGGGTGGAGGAGAGAAATCCAGAGCTGCCTCTGAACAGAGGAGGGTGCTTAGAAACTGAGTGTAGAGAAGAGAGCCAAAGGAGAGGACCAGAGTCTTGATGTTTTAAAAGGAGGTGGGTGGGGAGAGTACGATGAAGATAAATTGTGGTTTGGGGGCAAGAAGAAAGGGAATTAGACACAAGAAGCCAGATTTAGTAGATGCCAAAAAAGGGGCTCTTGACAGAGTGGCACTGACCACGGTTTCGTTCTGAGTACTTCGCACCTTCAGAAGATCTTAATTGAAGCCTGAAAGCCGGCTTCCAGTGGAACACAATGCTCTAAAACCTTAGGGGAGGGAGGGGAAGTCATTGTGGTAAAATTGTAGTAAAATGAAGGTTAGCTCTGATACCCTCAGCTTTGTACCAACGAAGGAAAACTATTACGGCCTCTGTTTGGTTCATTCCATAAAAACTTACTGAGTTTATAACTCTAAGAGCTAGATACTGCAAGGAGTACAGAGATAAAACACATGTGGCTATTCTCCTATAAGTCACCTACAGTCTGTGGGAGAAAGAGTGAGGCATCGAATTACTTGTTTAATTAATTTTATTGGGTATCTCTTACGTGCCAGGCACTGAGGTAGGTGCAAGTAAACACCTATGAATAGGACAGACCAGCCCCTGCCTTCAGGGAACTTACCTTCTAGCTGGAGGAGGCAGACATTGAACAATGAATTGATTATAAAAGTAACACACTTGAAAGGGAGGGTGTTAAAGGGTGCTGCGGGAATGCTTAAGAAGGAGAACTAACCAGTGTGGAGGGCCAGAGGGACATACTTTAGAGCCACCTTAGATTTTAAGTCTAGTGAAGATTCAGAGGATGGAGAAATTGCTTTGGAAGGACAGAGAAGAAATAAGAAGAAAAGTTCTTTGTGTTGAGTTTTGGAGGATGGATGTGGGATTTAGACAGACAGAGAACAGAGACAGAGGGTTTGATGCCTGACACAAAGAACAGCACAATCAGAGATCAGAGAAGAGAATTAATGAGGGGTATGGAGAAGCAGGGTCTCAACCAGAGCTGAAAAGGGTTTTAAAAGTCACCTGGCCATGGGCTGAGGATCATGCAGGGGAGCAGAGGGCCACATGGCACAGACACCTGGCTAAAGGGTTTAAACTTCGGCCCTATATTGCATAAAGCCAAGAGTGGTATTAAAATTCCAGCATTTCCACTGACTCTTTATGTGACCATGTATATGTCACTTTACCTCTCTGACCTTGAGTTCCCTCTTTGTTAAAAACACAGGTAATAAGTCCGACCTCATAGGCCTGTCACATGATAAATGCTCAAAAAGTATTAGTTCCATGTTCTCATGTATATGTCACTTTACCTCTCTGACCTTGAGTTTCCTCTTTGTTAAAACACAGGTAATAAGTCCAACCTCATAGGCCTGTCACATGATAAATGCTCAAAAGTATTAGTTCCATGTTCCTGATCAAGTGACCAATGAAGAGTCCATGATTGTCTGTTTTCAGTGCCAGCATCGGAGAAGTGATTTAGGAAGCACTAGGGCATGTCAGCATGTAGGGTGAATCAGGGTAGTATGAGGTGGGTGGTCAGTGAGTGAGTAGTGGAAGGAATGGGGAAAAGACCAGGAGGGAGGTGACCGAGGCCTGAATGAGGGGAAGGACAGTAAGGACTAGGCGGCTGAATCAGTGAAGGACTCAAAGATGATGCCAATACTTTGAGACTTACTAACTGGGCGGACAGTGGGAGGATAGCAGAAACAGTGACATCAAAAAATACTTTTGTTTGAGAAATAATATAATGAGCTATTTTGGAAATGTAGAATTAATTATGTTGAATTGTATTAGAAATCTACACTAACAGTTTCAGTAGATATCTGAAATATGGAACCTGCGTTTTGAAGTGAGGTCAACATTGACCATGTGAATTTGGGAATTACTTTATGGATGTCGTTGTCGGAGCCATTGGCATAGATGAATTCACAGAGAACAAAGCCTTGTAGAGAACCTTGGAAAAGCATTTGCTCCATTCAGGAGGCAGATGAAAAGGAAGGAAAAAAGAGAGTCTTGATTCAAAAGGAAAAAAAAAAAGAAGATTCTGATTTCTAAATAACTAACGTAGAAGGAGATGGGGAGGACGCACTGCCATGCAGCCACAAGAGAAGGGAGAGAACAAAGTTACACACCGCTGAGATGAGGAAGATCTTCCGCAGTCTCTGACCTCGGAGAGAGTAAGTCTGGGGGAGACAGGTGGGGGAAGGCTACAGAATCGGGACAGAAAGGATGGTAAGAGGTAGAAGCGGTAAGTATGTGCTCTGGAGAAGTTTAGTATGAGGAAGAAAAGGAGAATTCTGTCATTTGTTCAATGTTTACTGAGCATCTGTTCTGCTCCAGGTACTGCGCCCAGGCCTATGGGAGAAAGAGCAGCTCAGGAGCACAGAAGGTTGAAAGATTTCTTTAAATGAGGGAAACATAGACAGGTTTCACACCTGGGCTGTTGGAAGGGGACAGAGAAAAGGCTCCAGGGACCAGGCCAGGGGAATGACGGATGGAAGGATGCGCAGAGAGTATGTAAGGAAAGTGTTGACAAGGAGAGGAGAAACGCTCCAGTCTGGTAAGAGTCGAAAACTGATATGCATAGAAACACATTTCTGTCCCCAAAGTCCTTCCTTAAAGTAAAAGTATAAACTTAAGGGGTTCTAATGGGGCAGGTACCGCTTATCAATATTTACTGCTATCCAGCAATCTGGATTTTCTGTCTACTTCACCTCGAAATTACATACACTCTTTAGTCAGAGGACACTGAGAAAAGAGCCTTTTTATAACACTTCCATTTAATTATAAGTTTTTCTTCCAGTCCTTGAATCATGTTTGGATATTGCAGTTCTCTTCATGTTTGCTTTCTCAAGGATTCTTGAGAATTTCATCTAAAACCAACTTTTCTAGAATAGTAGGTTGATCCTGCTCAACACCACAGCACAAAGAACCACTGCACAGAGATTCACATCCACACCTCATTCCCCACGTAAAGCCTCTAACAAGACAGTGTTGTAAATTATCTCATAAAGTGGGGTGACATGCGGCCTTGACAGGGAAATGGCCAGGCTTACCCCAGTCTTATATCACAGCGTGACGTTGCTCATGTTTCTATGTCTGATTTCATAGTCTAGAGCACAGCTGTCCAAATGTGAGTTACAGCTGTAATTATACACTTTCTAGTAGCCCCACTACAAAAATAAAAAAAAAATCAGATAAAATTAATTTTGATACATTTTATTTTACCCAAGATATCCAAAATATTATCATGTCAATATATAATGAATATAAAATTATTAATGTGGTATTTTACACTACTTTCTTCCTACCAGGTCTTTGAAATTTGGTAATTTACACTTCCAGCACACCTCACTCCAGACTAGCCTCGTTTCACAGGTTCAACAGCCACATGTGGCCAGTGGTAACACTGGACAACCCAGGTCTAGATCCCTAGTTACACCGCAGCAGGCAGAGAAGGGCCATAATTCTCCCCATCTCAAAGAATCGCATTTCCCCACCACATTCTGAAATGATTTTCTGATCTATTACTGAATTAAATCCATACTTCCGATTGTTTTTCAGCTCCTCCTTTTTTTGCTTTAAGATTACTAAAAGGTGGGCAAGTACCTGGGATGCAGGATATCAAACATTTTAGTGATGCTCTTTGAAAACTCACCACAGCGGACAGTCTAGAGATAAAAATGACCGGATGACAATGAAAGCACTGTTCAGTGGTGAGCTAGAATGATGTAAAGGAATGGGAGGTGGGCATAAAATATATTTATTTAAATTTTTAAAGTTAAATTTATTAGGGTAGTAAATGAATTAACAAAACAAACCAAACAAACTCAAAGATATATTTAAAGAGCCAAGAAAAGGACAATCTCCAAAGCTGCAGCCTGGCTAAGAACTTTTAAAAAGCAGCATATAAGTCAGCCCAGTACAAACTGAGCAGGGGCCGGGGCAAGGGAGGGAGGAAGCACAGGCAGGAAAGGAGCAGAGCACACAAGGAGGTGTCTCAATGACAATGGCCAGGGGCTAGGTTTGCAGCCCAAACACACCTCTGGGGAGCACCTGCCATGATAACATTGCCTATACCATCTGTGGCTTTGTCTTCAGAGACAGAACAAGATGAATTATAGAGAAGTGTCTTTTTAACAGAAGCAGGGAAAGAACTTCAAAAATCTTCCTTTTCTGTAGAGAGAAGAAGAACTAGCTTAGTGGAAAATGTTTTTCTAAGTGTTAAATTTAAGGGAGTAATAAACTTTTCCCGTGAAATACAGATAGAACTTTCATTGTGTATATTAATATTTTTTTTCATGATCATTTAACTAATAAAGTAATATGGGTTTTCTGAGAGGTAGATTCAAAACTCTGCAAAGGAAGAACTTAAGCAAAGAAACTGAAATTGTCTTAAGTCACCATAAGGAGATCAATTCAGCAAACATAAGAAGCCTAAAGTCTAAAGTCTTATAAAGTGTCTGGGCCATTAACTCAAAGGGCAAGAACCCTTCAGCTCTCACCCATCCCTAAAGTCACCCATCACATCAATACGTCCTGTCCACAATGAACATGATGCCCGAAGAGGCCAGTTAAAGCTAAAAAGCTCTGATTAAATAATGCAAGGAGAGGAATAAACTAGTTCAGAAAATTCCATGTGGACATGTTACTTTTTGAAGAAAAAAATTCTATTTTGGATAGTGTACAGTACTATGAAATCCAACGGATCTGGGTACCTATTGGAGATGTGACCTTGTATATATTAGTTCTCTGATTCTAGTTTCTTCATCTATAAAACGGGACAGTTAATACCGACTTTGTAGAAGTTTTGTGAAGATGAGACATAATGTGTGTAAAAGTGCTTTGCATAGTATCTGACAAAACAGGTATTTAACAAATAGCTGCTATTGATAATAATAATAAATGAGCTACTCATATTTATATCCATATTATTATTAAGCCTTAATTGGAAAAAACTTTTAATAAAAAAACAGTATAAGGTAAAGGTCACTAAACTGACCTCCTTTTTGAGTCTGTGTATATATCAGCATGCAAATGAGATTCATTTTCTCAATCTTTGAAACTCCAAATAGTTTTATTAATTTTATTTTCCCTAGCTTAATTTAAAAAAACGAGGTGAAATTGGTCTTGAATGCCTGTGTAAGTGACCTTGATTTCTGTTTGTGAGTTTTTTTTAACAACTTAAGTATTCATCCATGACCAAATTTGACGGTGGGGGGTGGGAGGGGTTGGAGAAAGGGCAGGAGTGGTTAATGTGTACTTTTCTGTGACTATGTTACTGTGTACATATACTTCAAGTCTTGATGTACAAAGAATTCTTCCCCCATGGTCTCAAGCAACTAAGGGACTCCTTGGGTCAAGAAGAAATATATCTGAAAAATTAACTCACACTAAAAACTGAGTATTACGACTTTTTGGCTTACAGCATATTTGTATTTTAAGAGGGAACTTCCCTAAAAATGATAACTCAAAGAAAAATCTCTTAAAGTCTAAGAAATACAAACACAATTGCTATAAAGATGCTGATACAAGGAGTTTGTATATTGGTAAGTAGAACCAACCAGCTATTTAACAAATATCTGCTATTGATAATAATAATAAATGAGCTACTCATATTTATATCCATATTATTATTAAGACTTAATTGGAAAAAGATTTTAACAAAAAACAGTAAAAGGTAAAGGTCACTAAACTAGGCATCTGTGACAATAAGGAGGATAGACACCTTCCTTAATACTCCTCACATCAAACTCCACAGGTGACTTGTTACTTCAGCTCAAAGTCAGTCAAATTTCAAGTAAGAGAGCTGCTTACACAACTCCAGGGTAACTGTTCTGCACATGTGCGTGTATGTGCGCACGCGCCTCAGTGTAGACTTCAAGTTGAAAAATTGCATTATTGGAATTTCAATAACATTTAGGGTCCATCTACCAAACTGGAACTTGCACCCGGCTTGGCTTGCTTCTGACTAGTGTGAAATGTTAAAACAAGCCGAGGACCATTCTCCTAACACATTCACAGAGGAGATATAGCTAAGTTTACCTTTCTTTGGCCTGGATTTCACTGGCAAGGACTCCTTTTTTTCCATTGCTGCTTCTCTTTCTTTCCATCGCCGGATCTGTTCCTCCCTCATCTTGAAGAACAGGATCTGTTTCTGTTCTTCGCTGAGCTCTGCCAGCAGCTCAGGATCTATGTACATCTCTGATAGTATCTGTTTCAGCATCTTTGCAGGTCTGGAGTCTTTTACACCTGTGACAAAAGTTCTTGAAATTGGCTTCCAAGTGTGCCTCCACCTGGGCTGGCACTTGGATGGACCTTCCTGGAGACTCAGAACAATCCTGAATGACTAGAATAATAATTCAGCTAATCAGTTCTTGGTCTTCAGCACCAAACATCCTGTCCGAAATGCCGTTCACGAACCTGCAAAAGGCAACAGCCAAAAATCAGGCAGTATTAAAATGTGTAGACACTGGGCAAGGACAGGCTTAGGAATAAAGCGTGGAAGAAAGGCAGTATCGCTTTTCATTTCAAGGAATAGAGAAGAAAAGGTGAGGCATGCTTTGTTAAGAGTTTGTGTAACCTGTATCCCGTAATTTCCAAAGATACTTTATCAAAAACACAAAAGAAACCCTAACATTTTACAGGTCATTCTCAGGGAAACAAAAAAATTAAAGGAGGTTTGGCCTTCTCCCAACCAAGCAAACATATTATTACCTCAGAGCCTAACAAACCACCAACTGTACGGCTGAGAAAAGAATTTTTTTAAAAAAGGCCCAGGAATAAATTAAAAGACTTTTTCCAAACAACTTATTTCAAAACAACATACTGTTTTTTTGAGATTTCACAGAATTACCCACCTCAAACCAAATCAAAACAGAATCATGCTCAAAGAAGAAAAAAGAAGAAATAAAAATTAGACCACAATGCAATTTTCCCATTTCCCCTTAATAGCAGCACTGAATAAACACAATTATGTACTTTCATCTTCACAGAAGGACAATGGTATTTCCAGACCTACAAGAATCATGAAAACAGTGCAGGTGCAGGAGAGAACATTTACATACATTCTGGAAGGTCACCAGGTTTTAGGTGTACCTCCTCCAGATAATTGAATTTAATAAAATCTAAATTTACAGGCCAGATAAACTGGGGGAATGAAGAGGTGATTAGGTTCATTAGAAAAGATCCTTGTTTTATAAAGAATTTACCAGAGGCTCCTTTAAAAAGGAGCCATGGACTGGTACATGCACCAATGGTTTTATAGTGATTCTATTGGAAGGGGGGGTAACAATTCCACTGAAGTTTCATTCTACTTTACACATTTCTATTTGGCTGATTTTAAAAAAAAAAAAAGCAAATCTTCATACTTTCATAATCGGAATGAAATTATGTTTACTTTTCCATTCTAGAATAAAAGGCTTTTAATTTAAATATGATACACAAAAAAGCTTTCTTACTGTGACTTTTCAGGATTACCCAAACTCTAAGAATTGACCAGTAATTTGGTGTTTATAACGCCTCAGTAATCTCACCATCTAGCCATGTCCTCTCAAATCTCATTTCTCCAAACTAAGTTCAGATGCTCTGAAACTTCACACTAGTCACTCAGCCTCCTAGTTCCTTTACCTAGTCACCCACACAGCTGGGTTGTGAGCTCCTCTCACCTCCTGGCAGTGTCCTTGAGCTCCCCTTTCTTCCTCTTCTTCCTTGCAAATATTCTCCATTTACATCAGTTTTTTGAGGCAAACACTCTCAACAGCTCCACCCCAAAGTGGTTTGCATACACAGCACATAGCTAGATTCACTAACTATTCATTGTGTACATGGACTTTTACTGAGGCTACAATTATTCTTGCTAACTGCATCCTATAATCTCCTGCAGCATTCAACTACCGGAACTCAAGTGAAACACAATATTAAGAGAAAATTGAAAAAGGATTAAAAGCAATGCAATTGCAATGCAGTCTGGCATGCCTATCCCAGGCTCCCTTCCTACCTTTTTATTTTGCTTTGAGGTGACCCTCTAAGGCTGTAACAGCTACAGAATCGACATCCTGTAATGCTTTCTTGACTTTTGGGTTCTAACAGCTTCTTAAGGGGTGGGCCCACTAAATTCACACCAAAGGAGAGGTTTCCAGAAACTGTGCTTTTATCTGTAGATGATGGGAACCAGAAGAAGAATTTGGGTCCTTGGCACACTCGACTCCAGTGCTGAGATGAAGTGGTAAGAAACCAAAGTGAATGACTCCTTGACATTCCAGTAAATGTCCTTCTGTTGGCCCATTCCATGACTCCAATGGTTGACATTCATAGAAACAAAACACGGTAGAAAATGAATTCATCGAAGCCTGAGGCTTCTGCTCTGTTCTCCATTTCGAATGGGGTAAATCCTAGCAACAGTGATGGCATGAGTAGAGCCTGAAAGTGCCAAATTCACATTTTCCCCCTCCCCGACCCAGAGCACTCCCGGTAATGACAGCTTACACTTACTGTGTCAGCCACTACCTTCAGCACTTTACTTGTATTAACTCATTTAATCTTCACAGTAGCTCTTGGAGTTGAATCCCTCACTAGCCCCATTTCACAGATGGAGAAGATGGAAAGTGGCGGAGCTGGGCAGCCGGACTCTAAGCCGGCTCTACTGTACAGTGGAGTTTCTTTGTGAGCCCAGAATCAGAATGTCATCAAGATGTGGTACCACGTGTGAAATCTCAGAAAGAAGACTAGCGAATTCTTGAAGCAATGGAAATGTTGACCTGAAAGTGCCTGACACAGAGTGCCTCTCAGGCAGAAGCCTCATCCTGGTAATTGAGGTTAAGCTTAAGGGAGGCCAGGTATTGAAAAGACCCCACCCTGGGAAGGACAGCAAGGAACTGACTGTAGTGCTGGACCAGGTGTGAATGTTGTTTGTTCACTTTTTTCTCCCAGTTTCCCTGTTCACACAACCACTACGAGTAGCAAAAATGGCACAGCCTCTCACAAGTGTGATGAGATGCTCAGCCTTTCACAATTTAAATTTTTCGTTTGCTTTTTGTAGCAAACATAGATTTTTAGCAGTAAACTAGTGGATCTTGAAGGAAAGACACTGGCTTCCCTGTGTCCTCAGAGAATACTTCGGGACTGGCTGACTACTGTCTTATAGTAAAGCTGCTGAATAATATGTACGTCATTCAAAGGATGTTGATTCCTACTGGTGTGAATGAACTCTTTCCTCCCCTGTGCTATCAGATGGACAACTCAAACACAGCACTGGGTGCTCACAGGACAATCAGCAAGGGACCCTAACCTGGACTCCCAGCTCTGCCTCTCATGAGCTGTGTGACTTTGGGCTGTTACTTCACTTCTCCGGACTCAGTTTTCTCATCTTTGAAATGAGGGCCTGCACTATGAATCTTTGTAATTTGAGGACTATGCCGGATAATCTCTGTGAAGTTACAGAGACAAGTGGAGCCAGGGTAAAGGAAATAGAAATGAGGAAGTTAACCAGGGATTTTCCCACTTTCACTCCCTGACAGGACAACCATTGCTGATACTAATTCAAACTCAAATGACTTTCCCCTAACGTTCAGTGTTACAAAATTCCACTTATTCAAGAGCCAATAAAAAGAAAAAGCTCAGCCAACTTGGGTTTCTTCTTCCACAGCACTTTTCTTAAGAGAGAAATGACAAGCCACAAGCCCACATCTGCTATTTATTCCAAAAATAAATTTCTAAAGGGTCATAGGACCAGTTGTTTCCCAAGATACCCACAGATTTGGCCTGATTGTCACACCTTCCACAGCCCTGTTCTACAAAATAAAAATCGTGTTTTTAATGACTCTGAGACAAAAATAAATAAAAATAAACCACCCCTAAAAGACTCAGCCTGAGATACAGCCTAAATCATAAAAATATTGTCATACCAACAGTATAACTTTAATGCTAAGAATATAGTTTGAATTTTGTTTTAAAATAGCTGTTTTCTGATTTTCAGTTATCTTATTCAACTTTATTAATCTATCTGCAAAAGGGCCATTTTTGAGGACAAAATAAATTACCAGAGGTGACAGCAATTTGGTAAGTTTCGTAAATACATACCATTCTTCAGAAATTTGAAATTACTATACACACAGATTTCTCTGGAAAATTCCACCCACACGCCAAATCATTGCCTTCGACTTATTTATTCACTTAAAAAATACTATATCTAAGAGGTTTCCATTAAATAGGCATTCAAATAAAATCCTCTTAGGAGGTGAAGAGACTAAGTTTAGAAAAAGAGAGGTGCCACACTTGCTTCTTCCTATGATCCTTGGGGAGGGAAAAACAACTCTGAGAAAACCACAAAATTGTCACTTCTCATCGCGTCTCCACGCGCGCCCCCTTTGGAGGCCCACAAAAACCTCAGGGGCAGGAGCGGGCAGGGGTGCCCACCTGGTGGAGGTAGGTCATCGCCACCAAGCTGACTGGGGGCCACGGTCTGGGTCTGAAGCAGGCCCCGGCCCTCCGCGCCCCAAACCCACCGGGCACCGCGGGTGCCGTCGCGCTGAAACCGTTTCCCCGGACGGTCCTGATAGGTCTGGGACGAAGGAGGTCCACACAGCTCTACCCACGTGTGTGCCTGTGCTCGTCCGCGGTGCAGTCGCTCCCGCACAGCGGAGTGGGGTGCCCGTCGCGGGGCAGTGGGAGCCCGGGGCAGCCGGGGGAGACGCGCGGCGCCGGAGCTGTTCTAAAGGAATCCAGTAACTGTAGACCAGCCCAGACCCACCCACGCCGCCACCACCCGGCCGCCCCAGCTCCCTCCCGGGCGGAACCCCGCCTGACGTGCGTGCACACGCCCCTGGGTGACACGGAGCCCCGCCCGCAGCCCCAGAACTGCCCCTACGCCTCCCACGTGCCCTGCGGCTGTCCTCTCAGGGATCCCCTTTACCGCGACCACGAGCCCCGACCCCTGGAGCACCGCCGCTCACCTGCCGGCGGATCCAGACACCGGACACCGGACACCGGACACCCGCCCGCCTCGGCCGTGCTCGCTGCCCAGCGCCGCACCTGCTCCCAACCTAGGAGCGGCCAAGGGGCCGTGGGAGGGGCGCGGGCCGTGGGGACCCAGGCCTCACCGCCCGCCTCCCCCAGCCCCTGCCCTCTACGCTCCCCCTCAGGGACGCCCCCCAAACTCTTCCCAGCCTCCCCTTCCCGGCCTCCCTCCCCATCCCGGCACCCACCTGTGCAGGGTCTGGGGCTCGCCTAGCAGGGCGACCTGCTCACCCGCCACGTCCTGCTGGGCCGCTCGAAGCTCCGGGAAGGGAGGAAGGGACAGTGAGAGGCGCCCGCGAGCGGCACAGGCTGGCTGGACAAACACTCCGGTGAAATGTTGGCAAACAGTGTCCCTCAGCCCCGGCCCGCCCGTGCCGCCCCACCCGCGGCCCACATGCCGG